GGTGGCAAGGGTCACCCCCACATGACCCTTCAATGACCCAGCCATGAGGGTAAGGGAACATCTCCCCCACCCCATGCACTGGTATGCATGTGAGGATAAGCCATGTGTCTTGTCCGCAGCAGGAAGACTGGCAGCTGTGCTAGAAGGTGGCCCAGGCATTTGCAGTGTCAGAGACTCAACAAAATACCTACATAGTAAAAAGAAATGCATAAACTTTAAACTACTTTCTAAGCCTGCTCAGAATTCACACTCCACTCCTTACTTTACTTACTTACTTAGGCGATCCCTCGTTGGACGAGTAAGATGGTCTTCCAATATTCTTGTGGGTTCGTAGGTGGCTGTGGAGCCCTATTCTTGACCCGCATCTTCTCCCACAGTGAAGGCACTGGTTTCCAGGTGGAAGGCGGTCCGGTCGGGGTTGGCTTGACGCACCTTCCTCCTGGCACGTTTCTCTCTTTCACCCTCCACTCGTGCCTCCTCGAATTCTGCAGCACTGCTGGTCACAGCTGACCTCCAGCTGGAGCGTCAAGGGCCAGGGCTTCCCAGTTCTCAGTGTCTATGCCAGAGTTTTTAAGGTTGGCTTTGAGCCCATCTTTAAATATCTTTTCCTGTCCACCAACATTCCGTTTTCCGTTCGTAAGTTCAGAGTAGAGCAACTGCTTTGGGAGACGGTGGTCAGGCATTCAGACAACATGACCGGTCCAGTGGAATTGATGGCAGAGGACCATCGCTTCAATGCTGGTGGTCTTTGCTTCTTCCAGCACGTTGACGTTTGTCCGCTTGTCTTCCCAAGAGATTTGCAGGATTTTCCGGAGGCAGGTGCACACACTCTAGACTGTAAGCTGTGTGTGAGAAGTTGTCCCATCGTCCCACTTTCAACGAGACCACTACATTTCATACCACTTTATTTATTTATTTACTATATTTGTATACCGCTCTTCTCAGCCCTTGGGCGACTCAGAGCGGTTAACAATAGCAAAATTCAATGCTCAAAACATCATAAAACAGTTAAAAACAATTAAAACAGTTGCATACAGTTAATATAAATCAATAAACCATCTCATTCGCATCTCATAGTTAAGATCGAAATCCAGACTCATCATCCAATTGTTCCATATTCCTATATTCGTTACACTGCCTATTCAAATGCCTGCTCGAACAACCAGGTCTTCGCTTTCCTCCGAAATGTCAAGAGGGAGGGGGGCGATCTAATATCTGTAGGAAGGGTATTCCACAGCTGAGGGGACACCACTGTGAAGGCTCTGTCTCTCGTCCCCACTGTTTTTTTGTCAGTAAAATAATAATAATAATAATAATATTTTTATTGTATGCTGCCCCCATCTTGCTGAAGGGATAAGCGAAACTCTACTGTAATAAGAAAGATCGCACAAACTAGGAGAAGCTGCAGCAGTTTGCCTTTGCCTGAGTTAATTGAGTGTAAACTGAAATAAATCTGCAGTAATTGAAATAAAGTGGAAACAATGGGAGAAAAAGGGAGGAAGAGAGAAACTGGAATGTTTTAAAAGCAGCAGAAAAAAAATGGGACTACAGAGAATTGGAACTGTTCCTACAAAATTTGGACAGTTGGTATGCCACCGTCAGTCCACGGCTACCATACATTCCAACAGCTGGGCTTAACGGTCACATTGTTTTGTTTTAGGGAATAAAGGATGCGTATAGCTTAAGAATCGAGTGTGTCTTGTTCCACTTAACTTTATTTAACAATAGGCCTGTAAAAAAGATGCACATAGCGCTCATTGTTGTCGTTTTCTTCTTTTCCCTTTCCAGCTCTCCGCCCCTTATTTTCCTCCTTCCTTCACCCTCTCTCTTTTCCTTCCTTGATTATTACTTAAGTATATGTTTAGCTTTGGTACAGATCATTTTAAAAAAAATATCCAGGATGTCCTTGCATTTCTGGAACTCTGCA